AAAGAGAGCGAGAAGCCACCGTAGGCAGTTGGGCTTTCGCGCATGGCAGTGGGAAAGAAGAGACACGGACAGCTGTAACCTCCCAAGGGGGTAGGGAAAGGTGGGATGCTACATGAACATAGAAAGATGGTAACTGAAGAGAAGACAAGAGTGAATGTAGGCGACAGGGGCGACAAATAGAGAACGTCTACTAACATCAGTGACTATCCTATATATATGGAAGGATTGCGGAGGTCATGAGAGCTAACATAATAGCGAAGGCAATGAGCATCAAGGCGATCGGACAAGGGTGGAATATTTGCTTCTGCACAGACTCAACCGGTGAGAAGCGAAAAGCACCGATGGATGGGATGGGATTAAGGTTAGAGAGAGCAGCTGGAGAGGCCGCCGAATAGATCTGGTGACCATAATCGAGTTTCGATAAAATTAGGGCTGAATGTAGGCGAAGGATAGTTCTACAATCAGCCCCCATGAAAGATGAGCGAAGGTTTTAATAAGGTTCAGTCGGCTATGACAAGTTGCCTTCGGGGAGGTAATGCGAGGTTTCCAGAATAACCTACGGTCAAACAGAAGGCCAAGAAGCCTAACCATATCACGTTCTGACATACGTGAGCCATATAAGTACAAGGGATGATCAGAGACGACTGAACATCTAGTGAAAGTAATTTGGCGAGTTTTACTACTAGAAATTTAAACCCATGAGCGATGGCCAAATTGGAAACACTGGAGAGAAACTGCAATGAGGTGGCAGTCAGTGCCTGCACAAGCTATAGCAAAGTCATCAACATAAAGCGATGACCAAATATTGGAGGGAAGAATAGATGCCAGATAATTTATAGCAAGGAGAAAAAGTGTTGTGCTCAGATCACATCCCTGGGGGACACCTTCAGCTTGGGCAAAGTCCAGAGAAAGCATATTATTAACCTGGACACAGAAATGTCTGTCAGTTAAGAAGTTAAGGGAAAATGGTAGATTGCCTTGGAGGCCTAAGGAGTGGGTCTAGCCAAAATATATATACCTCCAAGTTGTCATATGCCTTCTCAATGTCAAAAAAAAAAATGGCGATAACCGAGTGGTTATTGGTAAAGGCCTTACGAACATGCATATCCAAGCGTAGTAAAGGGTCAATGGTAGAACGGCCCTTACGAAAGCCGTATTGACTAGTGGAGAGACTAGTACGAGATGAGTACGAGGATCAAAATGGGTGGGAGCACCCGTACTTAAAACATGGAGGGGGTGAGAAGCGAGAGAAGCTTCCAGCTGAATACTGCGGGAGTCACAGTGAGACCCCCCCCGAAAGGAAATGGTGGGCATTAAAATCGCCAAGTAACGGAAGTGGTGGCAGTAAGGAAGAAACTAGAAAGGCAACATCTGGGATAGATAATGCCCGAAAAGGAGAGACAAAGAACAGATTGTATACCACTTATTCAAGTGGATATGGGCTGCAGTATAATGCAGCGAAGTATGAACAAAGCTGACGGTATGGAATATCAGTGCGTATAAGAAGGGCACTTTCATTAAAGGTTCCATTGGAAAAAGGATCCGATGAATACAATAAATCATAGCCTGGGATGGGATGGATATCAGCGGAGTGTAAACGAACACCAACAGGAAAAAACTGGGAGAGCAACACCTGAAGCTCACCCCGGTTACCTCTGAGGCTTCGGATATTCCAGTGTAAATAAGCCATGATTTGTAACAAGAAAGATACAAGAAATCTGCAGGTAAAGGTATCTACGGACTAGAAGGGTTAGAAGTCCACACGTGGCCGCAGCAGAAACCATTCAAGCAGCGAAAGAATGGGATGCTGCGAAGAAAGGGGGTAGCACAGACGGAGAAGAGGGAAGAGGTGGATCGGTGTCCATTGATGGTCTATTCTCATCAATATATTCCGAGATAGCTTCAAGTGTTTCGGAAAACAAGGACGCTGTATGGAAGACAATGTTGGATATGGAAGGAGGAGGGTGAGTAAAGATTGAGATAATGTGTGTACTGCTCTTGAGAGCATGAAAGGATATATCTCTACCAACATGGTGTAGGAGCGCCTTGCCCTGCTATGGTCGGAAAGGTAGGCAGTAAAGAAAGTCGGTCGTAGAGTAAAAAACAAAATTAGTCCATTGTGTGTTTTGATACATGGCCTGGAAAGGGAGTGCGTGACGTGCTGGTCTTTTCTGAGTAGAACGAGAAGGAAGCAAAGAAGTATCATCAGGTAATTGTCGTGGGCGTTTCGGTGTGGGACCAGAGTTGGTCTGACGTGGAACGGGAGGGCGATTCGAAAATTGCCACACCGTATAGGGAGAAGCCGGAAGCATAGTCAAAGAAGAGCGGAGGTCAGACATATCAAAGGAGTCAGTCGAAACCCCGGTACCTGAAGCGGGTGACGATATGGCACCAGCAAGAGGTACAGGGGCATTAGAAGTGTCAGAAGAGTGGTCAAAAAACGAGGAAGGGTCAGAACAGGGTGCGGTATCAGGAAGGGGCCCAGAGGGAGCAGGTTCATGGACTGGGGACTCCATGGTTAGGTCACTTTTTTAGAAAAAAAAAAAAATAGGGGGAACGTGGAGGAATAGCTCCTAGGAGGCAGAAAGGGCTGTGAATCCCCCTCTGTGCCCAAGAGGACCTCAGCACCACAAGTAGTGCAGATGCAGCATGGAACCCGTGCCATACCCTTCATGCCAGTAAACCAGCAATCCGGGATAGCAACCTCGGTGGACAAAAGAGAGGGCGGTCGGACACCCGCCACAAAGCATACCTCTTTCGGCCACCACCCCCTGGAATCTGAAAGGTAGCCTCCAGAGATACACACGTCACCCGAAAGACACCCAAAGCCAACCCCCGAGAGACCAGAGAGGGATCGGAACATCCCCAGGTGATCCAGATTCCACGGCAAACTACACCACCGCCAAGGACCTAAACAGAATGGGATGGACCATTCTGTGGAAATTATTATTATAATCAAGGGGGAAGCGCTAAACCCGGAGGATTATACAGCACCTGGGGGGGGGGATGTGGAAGGCATGCAGGCTTAATTCGGGGAACTGGAGCACAGATCCAATTCCCTAAATCAAGAGCCCCTCACCAACATCAAGGAACCTTCCTTGAGGGGCATTCTGTGGAAAGAATCCCAAAGGGTGAAAATAGGAAGGGAATAGGGGAGGGATGGGGGGGAAAGAGGGGGGATGGGGAGGATGGGATAGGGAAGGGGGGATTGGGGAATAATTACGTTCGGTATGAGAAAGAGACCAAAGACCAAGACCAAGACCCTCTTCACTGCGCCAAAGAGCCCCCACTTGAAGAGGAGTCTTGTTGCAAAACCTGTGCACTTTCTCTAATTTCTTGACCTGACTCAAGAAATCGTAATGACACGATTGCAAACCATACCCTCGGCCGGGGGTGTGTATGAGAGGGTGTGTATGAGAGGGTGTGTATGAGAGGGTGTGTATGAGAGGGTGTGTATGAGGGGGTGTGTATGAGAGGGTGTGTATGAGGGGGTGTGTATGAGGGGATGTGAGGGAGTGTTGTGGGGGGTGTGTGTATGAGGTGGTGTGAGGGGTGTGTATGAGGGGGTGTGTATGAGGGGGTGTGTAATGAGGGGGTGGTGTATGAGGGGGTGTTTATGAGGGGGTGTGAGGGGGTATGAGGGGGTATGAGGGTGTGAGGGGGGTATGAGGGGGGGGGGGGGGTGGAGGGGGTGGGGGGGGGGGGGGGGGGGGGGGGGGGTAGGGGGTATGGAGGGGGGTATGAGGGGGTATTGAGGGGGGGGTGTTGAGGGGTGGTGTGAGGGGTGTGTGTGAGGGGTGTGTGAGGGGTGTGTGTGGAGGGGGTGGTGGAGGGGTGTGAGGGGGGTGAGGGGTGTGTGAGGGGGGGTGTGAGGGTGTGTGTGTGTGAGGGGGTGTGTGTGAGGGGGTGTGTGTGAGGGGGTGTGTGTGAGGGGGTGTGTATGAGGGGTGTGTATGAGGGGGTGTGGGTATGAGGGGGTGTGTATGAGGGGGTGTGTATGAGAGGGGTGTGTATGAGGGGGTGTGTATGAGGGGGTGTGTATGAGGGGGTGTGTATGAGGGGGGGTGTATAGACACACTTATCCTACTTAGCCTTGCATGGAGAGACCAGTTGGGTGTTGCAGCCTCATCCACTATACAGAGCAACTGAGTTAGTCAGTACCTGGGCTGCTACATCTACCTATATCCATCTACCCATTACCCCCAAGACAAAAAAAATAAATAAGAGACTAGTTCATTTTGTGTTCAAGATGATTGCAAGTTTTTTTCATTGAGTTTGAATTCCAAACTGCACTAGGTAAAAGCCAATTCACTTTTATAGGGAAGACAGTATTATTTATAACAACGTCCTCGGGTTGCTCTGTTTTGTATCCTTTAGTCGAGCTGCACAACATGAGCTTCGCCACTGGGAAGATCCCTATATCTTAGACCAGTAGTTCCATCTTTCTCCACTTCAAAACCCAATTAACAAAATACATTACGCCCAGCATCTCATACTAGCTGTTTGTGTATAACTAGTGAAAGGGTGATCCTAATCTGTCTCATACGTAGAATAAAAAACTTTGTCTCCCAGCTACATGGTTTCATACATGTAGTGAGCAGCACTGCATAACCACCTAATATCACCTTGCACACTAACAGAACGTTTACCATTGTACTTAATTCACCTCACAGCTGGATACTGACAAGTTGATAAGAAAGACATATGTACAATAGTTAAGTATCTTTATTCCGAAACATTTCTCCTACACAGTAGGCTCCATCAGTTGAATACAGAGAAGGCAGCAGAAGCAGTAGAGATGTATAGACGATGTACTCAGTCCATCACCATCGAAGACGTAGTTTTGAGGTGGTCAGTCCCTCAGCCTGGAAAGAGTTCCGTTCTATAGAGTAGGCGAGAGTTTTGGAATAAAGATATCTAACTGCTGCACATGCGTCTTACTGATCCACGTCAAAGCTGCGTCTGATATAGCCAACCGACATGCAATAGTTAGTGAACTTGCCAGAATGGATGTACGAAGATTGCTTCTTTACTGGATCGAAGGCTACTGGATAGAATAGTCTTCCGTGTTGTTCCAGGAGCATCGAAAGTGAAAAAAAGACATAGAATTAGAAACTTCCCACGAAGGTGTCCTCATCTCAAACTTATTCAGTATTTTAATTAATGCTTTACTGAATGTTATGTCAAGCCCAGCCCAATCATTATATCATCAACTTTGCTGGTGATATAATGATTCACAACACTGGATTCTCCGTCACTTAAAACATCCATGATCACATTATAGGGTTGTGTCAGGACCTGGGACTGATCATCTCAGCTGAGGCAGTCAACAGGATCCAGTTGTATGGTGGGTTGTGGCTCGTATGTAACCAGATACAGATATCTTGGATTTAACCCCCCCCCTCTATGTAAACTTTTTGTAACCAGACTGTTGTCACCAGTACAAAGAAAGGCTGAGAACAGTTACAGCTATGGCAGGTTTCTACCTCAGGTATAGTACAGCTATGGCAGGTTTCTACCTCAGGTATGCTAATAAGAGAATAGTGAAAAATGGTATATTTTGTTTAAACTTTGCTCGTTGTACATAACTGTTGTGAAAAACACACAACCACCTTGTAATGTTTTGTTATTGAATTCATGACTGTAAATATTCATTACTATTACGACCTTGATAGAGACGTGGGAGAGGCGGGATCCAGATATTTAAAAATAGGTTTATTAAAGTTGAGAAACCAGGAGACGGTGAGCCCAGTAACTGCTAGCGGAGAGGCGGACCGGGAGCTAATACTCGACCCCTGCAATTACATATTAATGACTAAATATAGGAACGTACACACACACGCACAGGGATGTTGGGAAGTATTGCTTCAGCTTTAGAGTTGTCAGACGTGGAACAATCTGGAGAGTGATGTAGTGGAGGCAGGATCCATACATTGCTTTAAGAACAGGTATGATAAAACTCATGGAGCAGGGAGTGGACCTAGTAACGACCAGCGAAGAGGCGGGGCCAGGAGCTGTGAATCGACATCTGCAACGACAAATAGGTGAGTACACAGACAGTTCCCTGCACTGCTGTGGCTATACCATGAAAATATTAAACAATAATACAACCAGCACAATTTTGCCAGATTAAATTTCCATTTGGGCGTCAGCTCAGGACACTGGATGTCGGAACCAGGTGCTGCATAGTATTAATTCTCACTAGCAACGCCAAACTCAACCCAGACAAAAGGGAAAAAAACGGCATTTATATTGTGCTTTGTCACGGATACAAAGGGAACAACTGGAATTTGTACCGGCGAAAGTTACAGTATATTGTTGTGTAAACACTGTTAGATATTTACTGATTAATGTTTTTGTTTTAGTGGTGAGTTTCGTGTCCTTCAAGGAAGACATCACTGGTTGCTGAGTGGAGGTAACGAAGGTAGTGATGCTACCAGGCAGGGCCAGATTTAGACCTTGGAGGGGGGCACTTTAGACTTGGGGGGGCCCTCAAATTGGAAATTAAATTGAATTACAAATAAGAAATGAACTAAAATGAATGATAAACAACAACAACAAAAAATAGGTTTCGAAGAAGTCAGATTTTATTTTTCTCAATTTTAACTTTAAGAATAACTTTGACTATAATTTTCAGTTTGTAATATATTCTATCTACACTACATAATAATTATCGATGTGTATTTATTTATATCTTTGGTGTTACACTTTCGGTATCTATCTATATGGTGGCAGTTGACCAGAAGGACACACGGTTTTCTCTGACAGGAAACAACATGACTGGGTCTGAATCACATGGTGGCGCTTCACTGTCCATGTCTACACAAGTATCTGTAGAATGTGGTTGTGGTGATACATCACTTTTACTATCTTGATTTGGTATGTTCTTTTTATTTTCTGCAGATGTACTTGGGAATGCTGGTGGGTCCTCAGAAGAATCATCATCTGGTAGTGATACTGGTTCTTCATTACTATCTTCTATGTTTTCCACTATGAAAGCAGAGAAAAATTCTGTAAGGCGTTTTGTCTTTGCATTTCTTTCGCTTGATTCTTTGGAAATCTCTTTTCTGAGCTCCTAATACCTCTTCTGAGGTCGACATAGCCAAAGCCATAGCCCCTCCCCACACACACAGGTCACCTCTGACCTCATGGTCTCGTCATTTACCTCTAAACTGACGCCAGCCAGAAATAGTCAAGGTATTCAAAGGGAGATGGGGTGGTGGGCACCCTTTCTATTCTCTGATGCCCCTCACACACACTATTTGTTAATTAATTTAAACTATTTTTTATTACAGTTTGTTATAAAGGAAGCCCTTCGTCTGGGGTCCCCTCTGGCAGGGGGGACCAGGGGGAATTGCCCCCTTACAAATCCGGCCCTAATCGTCTCCGAATTTTTTGCTTTCGTTTACCTAGAGGGGGTTTCGGGGGTCAACGCCCCCGCGGCCCGGTCTGAGACCAGGCCTCATGGTGGATCAGGGTCTGATCAACCAGGCTGTTACTGCTGGCCGCACACAAGCTGACGTACGAACCACAGCCCGGTTAGTCAGGTACTGACTTTAGGTGCCTGTCCAGCGCCTTCTTGGGGAATGATTTTCGTGTGTAAGTTTGGTAATAATCCCTCTAGGATTTTCCAAGTGTATATAATCATGTATCTTTCCTGCCTGCGTTCTAGGGGGTACACGTTGAGGAACTTCAAGCGTTCCCAGTAATTGAGGTGTTTTATCGCAGTTGTGTGCTATGAAGGTTCTCTGTACATTTTCTAGGTCAGCAGTTTCACCTGCCTTGAAAGGTGCTGTTAGTGTGCCAGCCTAGATAGAACAAAAGACATGAGTGTCATCATGGGCTTGGCATCCCTAGTTTTGAAGGTTCTCATTATCCATCCTGTCATTTTTCTAGCAGATGCAATTGATACAATGTTGCGGTCTTTGAAGGTGAGATCCTCTGACATTATCACTCCCAGGTCTTTTAAAACAATATTTTTTTCGTTTTATTTGTGGTTGGAATTTGTTTTAAACTCCGATATAGTTTTAATTTCCTCACGTTCTCCAATCGGAGTAACTGAAATTTCTCATCATTGAACTTCATATTTTCTGCGGCCAATTTAAAAATTTGGTTGATGTCCCCCTGGAGTCTTGCAGTATCTTCAATGAAGAACACTTATGCAAATTCGGGGTGTTATCTGCAAAGGAAGCAGTGCGCTGTGGCTTACCACACAACAAAACAAGCATAAACCCACAAGAGTGCAAATGCGAAAGCCAAAAAAAAGGGAGAACGGTTTTCAACACGAGTCCTTTGACATTTTCATTAGAAACGAATATGGAAAAAACGTTTGTCTCTGGGCTAGTTCCGGGTTTAAAATAAAAGGGTTTCAAGCCACGTTAACAACGTAACAAGAACTTGTTTAGCCCTTAGTAATTCCCAAAGGGGACAACTATCCCCCCTCCCCATCCCCCCCCCACCATATCAACAAACTACTACCCCCCCCCCAATCCCTCCACCTGCAGCCAACCCCCCCCCCCTTTCCCTAACGACCTTCCCCCCCCACAAACAACCACTGACGTCACCTCCCCTCCCCCAGGTAAAAGGCCCCATTTGCCATGGGGGTCAAGAATAGTGCCCCCACTACCACTCCTCGGCCGCCACCACACCAAAAACCCCCTCCACTCTTCCAGTTCCACAACCTTGGTAATTTAAAAAACTTGGGTTACTCCCCAATTTTCATGAATTTTTTATAGAACAGCTTGGAAAATATTTTAGCATTTTTCTTCCTACAAAATGTTTTAAGAAGCATTTTAGATACAAAGACTTTAACCCATGCTTACGCAATTTGAATAATCTATAAGCCATACTTTTTTTCTTGGGAACATTTTTTTGGCGTTTGTTCTGGATTATTTCTGAAAAACTGAAGCTGCCCACGACTGGACTTCACCACACAGCACGCCCACAAATGGACTTCACCACACACAGCTGCCCACAACGTGGACTTCACCCAACCCGCACTGCCCACAAAACTTTACCCACCCCAGCTTCCCCCCAACGTGGCCACCACACAGCAGCGGCCCACAACGGGACTTCACCACACAGCAGCTGCCCACAACGTGGACTTCACCCACGCACGCCCACAACAACTTCCCACACAGCACTGCCCACAACGGGACTTTACCCCACAGCAGCGCCCACAACGTGGACTTCAAACCCCCAGCACCCCACAAAGGGATTCACCACACACAGCTGACCACAAAGACTTACCCCACAAGCAGCGCCCAAACAGACTTCCCCACCAGCATCCCACAACAGACTTCACCACACAGCAGCGCCCAAACAGACTTCACCACACAGCAGCTGCCCACAACTGCAGAAAAAATTCAACTTAAAGATTTGATTTAAACTTAAACATTTATTAAAAAAAGTAAATAATTTTTTTTCTTTATCACAGCAAAGAAATTTTTAACACACCACACGTGTGTGTTCAAGGGAACACAAGAAATAGAAAAAAGAAAAACCTAACTGCTGTATTTGTCCGCAGAGACAAAATTACAAATTCGGGGGGCTTTAAAAACTCGGGGAAAAGAAAAAAAAAATAATCTAAAAACCCCCAACCCACTAACAAAGTAGAATGAGGCGGTAGCCTCAATACTGCCTTTTTGAGTAGTTTTGGGGGGATACATTTTTAAATTTCATGACCTGGTGATTTTTATAGTCAGGAAAACAAGTGTTGCGGGCACGGCATGGAATGGTACAACACAAAACTTCACATCAAATTTTTGCGTGCACACGCTTCAGCCGTTTATTAAATCCTAATGAAACCCCCCCCTGTAACTTAAAAACCTAGCTTTAAAACCCCCTCTAACACCCTTAAAACCCTATATTTTAATGGAAGAAAAACAAACTTTATAAATCAACTTCATGCGCCCGACTCTTCTCCAAATCAAACCTGTTTGCCTAACATTCCCCAAGCTGTGTATAATCCCATGGATAATATATCTATACAGTTATGGGAAATTTTATTTGGGTAAAGGTGTGCGTATGTAAAATTGTTTACCGCTCCCCCATTCATTCAAACTATTTTACATACGCACACCTTTACCCAAATAAAATTTCCCATAACTGTATAGATATATTATCCATGGGATTATACACAGCTTGGGGAATGTTAGGCAAACAGGTTTGATCCAAGGAAGGGGAGGGGACTTGCAACTGCTTGTATCAAGATAAATTCACTAGTACAATAAACACCCCTTGAAGGGCATCCAAATTTAACATGAAGGTAGTTAAGATCATTAAGGCAACGTTGTATTTCCCCTACACTTCCATGTCCCTCATAGCACACTAGGCTAACATCCAAGACTGTAGGTTGTTTAACCAGTTGGAGTCCTGCCGTATACCAGTTTCCTAACACACAGTACTACGCTAGCCGGAATTCTTAACCTACCTTACCTGCCAGTTACGGCTGGCATTCTAGGCACAACCTGAGGACCACTACATTCAAGCCCCCACTCTATTTTTTCTGGGCTTTAACCCAGCAGGGTTAATAATCCTATTCTCACTAATACCAATCTAAATCACCCCCTAAATATACTCATCAGCATCAATGTTAGTGAATCCTTTCTGACGACTAACACTTCAGATAAGGGATTTTCATTCTTTTCATCATTAACGTCTGCTGCCAGAAGCGTTAATTTCACTATCAAACCAACTACAATTATGAACCCCCCTCTAATAACTTTTTATTCATAGGAACTGAAACGCCCACCTGTTAAATTTTTCCAGATGATGAAATTGTGTAAAACTCAATGAATCAATATTTATCTTTGCACAGTTGGCCAAGGCATAAAAAACGTAGAACACCCTCCAACCACTACCCAAAGCCCGAAACCCACCAACATCCCCACGGAAACCACGTGAAATAACAGATTCCACCACAGCTTCTGAAGGTCGTTGGTGGGTTCCAAGGCACAAACATTCTACGTAATATTATGCCTTTCGGGGGAGATTACTCTCCCCTGCTATATGCATTCATAATGCATATAGCAGATTCTCCAGTTCTATACCTTACCTATCCTACTTAACACCACCTAATTCTATAAGTTATTTTGATAAAGCAAATAATTGTAGACCTACGAAGTGTTATATATGTACATCCCAACTATGTAACATACTCCACCTATAGGTCTTATTAATTTGCAGAGCAGTGGCGGCACAAGGGTGAAGGGAGGCAGAGGTAAGATCAAGGGGGACTAGGTAAGATCAAGGAGGACTAGGTAAGATCAAGGGGGACTAGGTAAGATCAAAGTGGACTAGGTAAGACAAGGGGGTGTAGGTAACCCCAAAAAGGGGGGTCTAGGTAGATCAAGGGGGGATTATTTGATCAAAGGGGTCTATTTAAGATCAAAGGGGTCTGGGTAAGATCAAGGTCTAGGTAAGATCAAGAAGGGTTTAGGTAAGATCAAGAGGGGTCTAGGTAAGATCAAGGGAGGTCTAGGTAAGATCAAGGGGGGTCTAGGTAAGATCAAGGGGGTCTAGGTAAGATCAAGGGGGTCTAGGTAAATATCAAGGGGGTCTAGGTAATATCAAGGGGGTCTAGGGTAGATCAAGGGGGTCTAGGTAAGATCAAGGGGGTCTAGGTAAGTTCAAGAAGGGTTTAGGTAAGATCAAGAGGGATCTAGGTAAGATCAAGGGGGTGTAGGTAAGATCAAGGGGGACTAGGTAAGATCAAAGCGGACTAGGTAAGATCAAGGGGGTGTAGGTAAGGTCAAGGGGGGTCTAGGTAAGATCAAGGGGGTTAAGATCAAGGGGGTCTGGGTAAGATCAAGGAGGTCTAGGTAAGATCAAGAAGGGTTTATGTAGGATCAAGAGCGGTCTAGGTAAGATCAAGGGGGGTCTAGGTAAGATCAGAGGGGTCTGGGTAAGATCAAGGAGGTCTAGGTAAGATCAAGGTCTAGGTAAGATCAAGAGGGCCTAGGTAAGATCAAAGGAGTCTAGGTAAGATCAAGGGGGTCTAGGTAAGATCAAGTGGGCCTAGGTAAGATCAAGGGGGCCTAGGTAATATCAAGGGGGTCTAGGTATGATCAAGGGGGTCTAGGTAAGATAAGGGGGTTAGGTAATATCAAGGGGGTCTAGGGTAATATCAAGGGGGTCTAGGTAAGAATCAAAGGGGTCTAGGTAAGATCAAGGGGGTCTAGGAAGTTCAAGAAGGGTTTAGGTTAAGATCAAGAGGGATCTAGGTATGATCAAGGGGGGTGTAGGTAAGATCAAGGGGGACTAGGTATGATTCATAGCGGATAGGTAAGATCAAGGGGGTGTAGGTTAAGATCAAGGGGGGTCTAGGTAAGATCAAGGGGTCTAAGATCAAGGGGGGCTCTGGTTAGATCAAGGAGGTCTAGGTAAGATCAAGAAGGGTTTATGGAGGATCAAGGCGGTCTAGGTAAGATCAAGGGGGGTATAGGTAAGATCAGGGGGTTGGGTTAGATCAAGGAGGTCTAGGTAAGATCAAGTTAGGTAAGAATCAAGAGGGCCTAGGTAAGATTCAAAAGGAGTTTCTAGTAAGATCAAGGGGGTCTAGGTAAGATCAAGTGGGCTGGTAAGTTCAAGGGGGCCTAGGTAATATCAAGGGTGTCTAGGTAAGATTCAAGTGGGGTCTAGGTAAGATCAAAAGGGGGTCTAGGTAAGATCAAGGGGTCTGGTAAGATCAAGGGGTCTAGGTAAGATTCATAGGGTCTAGGTAAGATCAAAGGCGGCTAGGTAATATCAGGGGGTTAGGTAAAATCAAAGGGTTAGGTAAATCAAAGGGTCTAGTAAGATCAAGGGGTCCAGGTAAGATCAAGGGGGTCTAGGTAAGAATCAAGGGGGTCTGTAAGATCAAGGGGGTTAGGTAAGATCAAGGGGTTCTAGGTAAGATCAAGGAAGGGTCTAGGTAATATCAAATGGGGGCTAGGTAAGATTCAGGGGGTTTAGGTAAGATCAAGGGGGGTTAGTAGATACAGGGGGTCTAGGTAAGATCAAGGGGGTCTAGGTAATATCAAGGGGGTCTAGGTAAGATCAAGGGGTCTAGGTAAGATCAAGGGGGTCTAGGTAAGATCAAGGGGGTCTAGGTAAGATCAAGGGGGTCTAGGTAAGATCAAGGGGGTCTAAGTAAGATCAATCAGCCTACAAAGTCTGTAAATATATACGGTATAACCCAACTTCAAAACAAATCCCCCCCCCCCCAAGGCGCTCTTAGACACTGGAGTAGTGAGCGCTAAACTCAAGACTATACTGAAAATATTTTTGGGACTTCAAAGCATAAAATTACTTGGCCAGGCCCTCTACAACCCTACTGAAAATAGAAAGATGTAGTTAATTCCACATTTCTGAGGAATTGTTATTGATTTTTCCGGCTATAATATATTCTGCCTAAGGAGAATTTATCCCGTTATGTGAAGCTAAAGTTCTGGCTGTGTAGTTTTAAAAATAAGTTAGACAAATGAGTGGTTGAGTCAGACCTGCCTAGCATGGGCCAAGATGTCTACTTAAGTGCTCCTTTCTTATGCCTTAAGCCCCTCAAGGGAGGTTCCTTGACGCTGGTGAGGGGCTCTTGATCTAGGGAATTGGTTTTCAATTTTTTCAGATCTGTGCTCCAGTTCCCTGAATTGAGCCTGAATACCTTCCATCTCCCCACATGCGCTGTATAATCCTACAGGTCTAGCGCTCTCCCATTATTATAATTATAATAATGTTATGTCTTAATGGATATGCCCGATTTAATAGGCTTTCCTTACACCCGGCATCAAGACCTGTCATTACCTTCACCACACTAAACTCAGTATAATTATTAATCAGGTAGATCAACACAATTACACAGTCAAGTCAGGATAACATTATTATTAGGGTATTTATACTCCCCCAGGATGCAACCCCTACCATTAGGCCTGCTCAGGGCCAGTAGGCCTGCTGCAGTGTTCCTCCTTTATGTGAACAACGCCAATGAATACAAGAGAACTTGCCTTCTTGTGCCGCCGGGATCGAATCCCGGTTCTTCAGTTGACGCCACTAGTAACTGAGCCATGATATATCACACACACTTCATCTCTGCTTCCTACAATCTTGCAGGATGGATATAGACTACATCATAACCACATTAAACTAACAAACTTTAAACTAACTAAAGCTTTACAACCCATTTCTCCAATTTTTATTTCCACCCCATTCAAAGTAACATATAGAATACATTCCTCATTATTTCCTGGACAGAGATTTCATCTCTGGTCGGGAGATAAGCTAATACTTCCCGCTAAGCTACTTCAGATATCAATTGCTAACAATCTTTCCTATACTCTCTCCACCACCTTCCCTCCTAATACAATTACTATCTGCTTCAATAACCAAACTTTAGTGGACTTAAAACCTGGAAATACCTTATAAGTGGGCCCCGCCCACCTCTGACGACGTCTCCAGCTGTTGCATCTCCACATACCTGAAGTAACCCTCTCCAGGTATAACACTAAATGTTAGGGGTCAGATCATTTACTAGTGTGGTTGTCTCCACCCCTCAGACTGGTCAATGTTGCTGTGTTGATCAATGTTGCAGCAGACACAGCCAGGCACAACACTCCTCAGTTACCACACCTGAAACAACACACATTCACATTATAACTATGAACATTACACACATACATAAACATTACCATGTAATATAAACTAGTAACATTACGGACTGATATAACCATTAATGTTTAACATAGTAAGTAAAGCTATCTTTCTCTTTAATAAATATTTCTTTCACATAAACCTGATGACTAATAATTTGCTTAGATGGAAGTCTATATCTGGATCACAAGGTGCAAGTTCCTTGGATCAAGAGACCTTCATTAAGTTATTTTTCAACAATGGAAATAAAAATAGCCCAGAACTGGATACACCATTATGGGTTATGTAGCGCCTAGTATGAGAGTTATTGTTTGATCAGAGGAAGGAGAGTAACTCCAGTTCCTTGCATCAAAACCCTTCCACTAAGGTCAATCACCCCCGCCCCCTCCAAGATATTAGACCCCAAATAAAATTAAAGACTATTAAAATATTAATTTGGTGACCAAACTGGTGGTGGGGAACAGGAGCTGCAGCTCAACTCTGCTGTTATACTGAGAAATACGTTCCCAGAAATACTTACGTTATTTAGATGTATTAAAATGATGAAGCCGTAAAGCCGGCGGGGTGGCAGGAGAAGGAACAGCACACCTTCCCCATACGACCTCTGAAGTTCAACTGACTTTTAGTTACGTTGAGGTTGGTCACTGTCCTGACCTTCTCTATAACACCATCACTGATAACCTGACTAACTCTGACTACCACCACTAGATAGCACTACTACACCATCACATCGCTACTAAATCATGGTGGAGCGCTCAACCCGTGGGGGTGATGGATCACCTGGGAGGATAGGTTCACTCCCAGTGGCATTGATCACATTCCTTGGACGTGATCTATGCCACCACCACCTTGGAGGAACGTCTCTTAAGGTCATCACTCTCACCACCAGAGGCGCTCAACTCCACTGCTATTGTACCACTAGTACTCTACATGAGTATACCTGGAGAGGGTTTCGGGGGTCAGCGCCCCCGCGGCCCAGTCAGGGCCAGATTATACCTTGAGGGCCCTGGGGCACTTTAGGTTTGGGGGGCCCTCAACATGGAAATTAAATTGAATTGCAAATAAGAAATGAACTAAATTATTAGTTTAATCATAGGGAGCGCTAAACCCGTAGGATTATACAGCGCACGTGGGGGGGATGGAAGATATTCAGGCTCAATTCAGGGAACCGGAACACAGATCCAGTTCCCTAGATTAAGAGCCCCTCAACGGCAGTGGCGAGTTTTTTTTCTGATTCTGATGACCAGAGCTTTGGTAAGAAGGGTAAGGAAGAAGGATGGGTAAGGATGGAAATATTGGAAAAGGGTGGGAGGGGGGGAGAGGTAGGATATAAAAGGTAAGTGGCCCAACCACTTTGGTGTAATTTAAAAAGTGTACGTGAAATGATAAGATATTCTTTAAGGGGTATAATACTAACCCATCAGAGTCACATAGATATAATAGGTATATAAGTACATGACTCTGAATTGGTAGTAGTTATACAAGTTGCAATTGCTTTTTTTTTTTTTTTTTTTTTTTTTTTTTTTTTTTTTTTTTTTTTTTTCGCGATTGCACAACGGATATTTATACAACAAAAAAGGCAGTAATTTTCTGGCCAGTTTATAAGTTCGTAACAATAGCTTCTTATAGGTGGTGTCGAACAATAGTCAATAGCATAATTTTACATTAGAAAGTTATTTAAGATGTCTCCCTAAATGGGGGCGATGATTTTCTCAGTATACATAGAAGGGTTCTGGTGGTATCCAATCTTCTTCGTCAGGTAAGTTACTCAAAATCATGGGTCGAGGGTAATCATCTTTATGAATAAAACGACGAACCCTCTGTGGGAGAGTCATTCTTTGAGTCCTGTGAGGCGGAGTATTGATGGTGTAATCTGTGGTATTTATCACTTGTATAGGATGTTCTCTATCTGGCATGTATAGTTCTTGCATTGTATAAAGTTGTTTCTTTTTTAGGGTGTCAATGCGTACATTTATGGCAGTAATATCTTGTTGTGTATGTAAATCTGCCATTTTAACTCTGTCTCTCCTCCTGGTATTGGTAATAAAGCGAAGAGCTCCATTCTGGACCCTTTGTAACCGTAGCATGTTGGTCTTTGTTGTTAATGACATTGGGACACAAGGGTATTCGAGTATAGGTCTTATTATCATTTTATACAGATGTTTTTTGACATGTTGAGGGGCTTGACTGAATCGAAAGAGTCTGCTAAGACCGGCTTTGGCTGTGTTGATCTTTTTAGTTACATGAGATGTTGAGTGGAGTAGCCTATCTATTTCATATCCCAAGATCTTGTTAGGGTTTCTAATGGCTACAGGTGTACCTCTGATGGAGATACCCCCTTTATCTTCGATGGTTGATGCAAAACATCCTATCGTGCTAACAAGGACCTTGTCAGGATTAGTCGTAATTCTCCATTTCTTCTCCCAATTAGATGTACGACGAAGTTCAATATTCATTTTTTCTATGACTCTCTCATACTTGTATTTTCCTGTTACTGGAGTTGATGAGACGACATGAATAACATCATCTGCAAACTGTGTCACAATTGTGTCATTAAACTCTGGTTGAGGAAGGTCATTCACATAAATGTTAAACAGAAGTGGACTGAGACAAGAACCTTGTGGGACACCAGCCGTCGGTATAAAAGGTTCTGTCGACTTGCCATGAAAGGTGGGAATGATTTTTCTTTGAGTTAAGAAATTATAAATTACTCTGAGAAAAGTCCAGTTATGGTCTGGTAGGTCAATGAGTTTGTATATAAGGCCATCATGCCATAAGCTATCAAAAGCTTTATGAATATCTCTGGTGGCAATTAAGGGAAGATTGCCCTGCTGTTTTAGACTTGCTACAGTGTCAAAAATAACATTTATTGCATGATTGGTACCTCTATGTGTTCTAAAGCCGAATTGTTTTTCAGTAAACAAGTGATTAAACTCCATATAGTAATTCAATCTGTTGGAAATGACTTTCTCAAGAACTTTTCCAGTGACTTCAAGTAAAGATATAGGTCTATAGTTCCCAGGTTGGTGGATGTCTTTATTGGGCTTAGCAAGAAAGATCATCCTAGCAGTCTTAAAAACAACTGGAAAATGTCCTGAGGCCAAGATGGCATTAAAGATATTTACCAAGGACTGTTTGCAATTTCTAGGTAGGTACTTTATTTGTTTCATTGTTATTCCAGAGAGGCCAGGGGCTCTATTTCTCATTCTTCCAATAACCTGACTTATCTCTAGTAATGTAATAGGTCTAGCAGTGGCGAGTGGGGAGAAAGCTTTCTGCTTTTCTATCATCAAACAAGCAGACAATACATGATAATCCTTAATCTAGGTAGCAGTAGATAGTTCTGAGCAGATAGTCTCAGCGCAGACTCCCAAGTGCTGTTTGCTGTCTTGCCCACGTACTCCCATGTATACTTGAATTGACCTGACCTTGGCTGTCTCTTCAGCCATGGGAGCGGTAAGCCAGTGGAAGATCTCGGTCAGACGACCAAAAGCTCCAGCTGTAGGTCATCATATGGATAAGACCCTCATAAGGAAACATTTGTCGTGTTTCCTGATAAATCTTACCTAACCTAACCTGACCCATGACTGACCTGACTTGTGGCTCTCGTCTTGGCCTTAATTACTCCTGTGACCAGCCACTGGTTCAGGACGCAGTAATCACTTGTACAATTATCGTTTATTTTTTCTCTGGTGATTATCGGTAATTGCGTTGCTTCAGTCTGCCTTCATTCTCACTCCCACACCTCTCCTGCTCTCCACCACCCACAACCACCCTTATCTCTCTTACACCCACAACCACCAATATCTCTCTTTTGCTACACTCACAAACACCCACATCTCTCTTACCCACATCCACACCCACACCCACACCCACGGATCTCTCCTTTGCCATCACACCCACACATAGCTAATTTGTCCACACCCGCATGTCATTCTGCAATCCTCAGTCAAGGAAAAGGATCTTCGGGTGAGTATAACAACAGGCACATCTCCTGAGTCGAATATATCAACCAAATAACTGCTGCAGCATATAGGTGCCTAGCAAACCTAAGAATAGCGTTCCGACTTCACAATAAGGAATCGTTCAGGACCCTGTACACCGTGTACGTTAGGCCTACATTAGAGTATGCAGCACATGTTTGGAACCCACACCTAGCCAAGCACGAAAGGAAACTAGAGAAAGTGCAAAGGTTTGCAACAAGACTAGTCCCGGAGAAAAGGGTCATATCCTACGAGGAGAGGTTAAGGGAAATCTACCTGACGACACTGGAGGACAGGAGTGATAGGGGGGATATCATAACGACATACAAAATTCTGAGAGGAATTGACAAGGTGGGCAGAGACAGGATGTTCCAGAGATGGGACACAGCAACAAGGGGTCACAGTTGGAAGTTGAAGACTCAGATGAATCACAGGAATGTTAGGAAGTATTTCTTCAGCCACAGAGTAGTCAGGAAGTGGAATAGTCTGAAAAAGTGATATAGTGCGTCAGGATCCATACAAATCTTTAAGAAGAGTTATGATAAAGCTGATGGAGCAGGAAGAGTGGCCTAGTAGCGACCAGTGAAGAGGCGGGACCAGGAGCTGTGACTCGACCCCTGCAACCACAAACAGGTGAGTACTGTATATGGGTTAATAAACGCTGGTATAGGGAAGGTTTTTTTTTTTATTCTGAGAGTTCCACCATTGTCTCTCAGATACCATAATTCTTGACCAAAATTGCACCATTTCAATGACCATTTTCCACGAGGGAGGAATTCTCTTATTGCGTCTTTGTGTGTGTGTGTGTGTGTGTGTGTGTGTGTGTGTGTGTGTGTGTGTGTGTGTGTGTGTGTGTGTGTGTGTGTGTGTGTGTGTGTGTGTGTGTACGCGTTTGTATGTGTGAGTGTGAGAGAGCTAGAGAGACGTACACCAGTTTGGTGTGTATGTGTATCAGTGACATAAAACTCTTAAGAGAATGTTAGAGGAGCCACCCGGGGCCTACTTCTCTCTTCCTGTGGCAGTCGACGGGTAGGAAAATCAAGGCAAATGGTGCGTGCCAAGTTATTGTACTGAGAGAGTATCAAGTGAAGAACCTTCCTGAGATCTCACACCTGAGTGAGCTGAGGCAAGCGCTGCAGCAACGGTGTCTGAGAGAGAGAGAGAGAGAGAGAGAGGAGAGAGAGAGAGAGAGAGAGAGAGAGAGAGAGAGAGAGAGAGAGAGAGAGAGAGAGAGAGAGAGAGAGAGAGAGAGAGAGAGAGAGATCCTTGAGACAATAATCTCAAGACAAATGACAGAATTTTTTGATTACTACTCACTACATTTTGATCGTTAATATGGCTTCAGGAAAGGTTACTCTGCTGCTGATCTGTTGTTAAACCTCTCCACTAAGTGGCACCAGTCATTGGATGAATCCAAAGTCAGCTGTGTGGTAGCACTGGACATTGCTAGCGCTTTCGACCGGGTGCGGCAACAGGGCCTCTTAGCAAAACTTCAAGCACTGGGAATTGCAGGCTCTACGCTATGTCTCCTCAGTGATTACCTTCATGGTAGATCTCTAAGTGTAGTTCTCAATGGAACAGAATCAGCAAGACATCCTATTGGGGCAAGTGTTCTATAAGGAAGCGTACTGGG